TCCTCTCTTCCATATGTTTTCCACTGAAAATTTCTCTCCAGCTGTCCCCTGGGAACATGGTCCCTTTCCTGTTCTTCTTGTAACCTCCTGTGGTCACAGAGTGTCTTTTCACTGTTCAGCCATCTGGGATCTATCCATGGTGTTCTATTTCTATGAATTTACTTACCTATTTATCAGTGTGCAGACATTTGGGCTGTTACAATATTTGAGTAAAATATGTAAAATCTGCTATAAGCACTCAAAAATGGGTCCTTGTGAGGAAATTGTTTTTATATCTCTAGTGTAAATACTTAGGTGTAAATGTTTTATAGGCTTCTTAACAGTTCCCAAAAAGCCTGTGTATTTTTGCCTTCTTGTTAGCAAATTGTGGGAGCTGCTTCTGCCGGCACTTGTAATTGTCAGTTTATATTTAACCATCCTAATGTGTGTATATCCTATGGTGGTTTGAATTCAGATTTCTCTAAAGACTACTGATGCTGGGACACCTTTCTTGTACTTTTCTTCTTTTTTCTTGCTATCTTTTGGTATTACTGAATTAAAAGAATTATTTAGATAAACTGAAAGCAAATCCCTTATTAGTCATTTTTTTGCAAATATTTTCTCCCACCCTTAGCTTGACTTTAATTATCTTAATTGTGTATCAGAAAACAAGGAATTTGAAATTTTTCTGATGAAATACAGCATTTTTCTTTTAATATGCATGATTCCTGCTTAAGGAACCTCTACCTAGCTTAAACCACAAAGATTTTCCTTGAAGAGGCTTCTGCCATCCATTTTACTCTGAATCTCGTGTATTTCCCAGCTGCTGTTGTTCGGCAGGAGTTTTTCGCGCACGCCAGAGAATGGAGAAGAGAAACATCACATTTTGTATTTGCTCCCTGGAGATCCTAGGAACTTCACACCAGGTTTCGATTTCAGAATTCCTGCACCAGTGAGGAACGTCACTGTGAACCTGTGGCAGAGCTTGAGATATGCTATTTATTGTGATTGATTTTGCTTTCTCTGGGTGGTCCCGTGTAACTCCTTGGCCAGTGTGCGTAATTTCCAAGGCCTCCTTTCAGAGGTGATGTCATCCTCCAAATCTCCCTCCTGTTGTCAGAGCACCTTTTCTGCCTTTAGCCGTAATTCATGGTTTCCAGTGTGCCCCCCACCCCTGTCGCCTGGTCCCCATGACTCTGAGCCTGTGTGCCACCCTGTGCTAGTCACCCCATCTACTATTGCTTGCTTGGCCAATCTCCAGCTACCTCTTTTTGTCTGGCATCTTAGGATACTCTCTTCTTCTTCTTCTTCTTCTTTTTTTTTTTTTTTTTGACAGAGTGGACAGTGAGAGAGAGAGAGACAGAGAGAAAGGTCTTCCTTTGCCGTTGGTTCACCCCCCAATGGCCACTGTGGCCGGCGTGCTGTGGCCAGCGCACCGCGCTGATCCGAAGCCAGCAGCCAGGTGCTTCTCCTGGTCTCCCATGCGGGTGCAGGGCCCAAGGACTTGGGCCATCCTCCACTGTACTCCCGGGCCACAGCAGAGAGCTGGCCTGGAAGAGGGGCAACTGGGACAGAACCAGTGCCCCGACCGGGACTAGAACCCGGGGTGCCAGCTCCAGAGGCAGAGGATTAGCCTAGTGAGCAGTGGCACCGGCCAAGATACTTTCTTCTTAATTTAAAGCTGATCTATAATGAACATATTGGACATTTCACTTAGCTTTCAAATGTGTTTGTGGTAGAAGGGGCCCATCACAGTCAAGGAGAGTTGACCATTCTGAGTGTGCTTCTCATGCGTGGTTCCTTTTCATTGGTTTTCTTTGTATGATGTAATATATGCTGTAACTCTGTGATCCACTGTTAGGAAATGGAAACTGTGGACGCTCATCTTACAGTTCTGTAATTCACAGCCTAAATTGGGCCTCACTGGGTTAACACCAGAGTGTCGCAGTGTCCTTTCCTCTCTGGGAGGCTGTTGAAGGGTCCTTTCCCATGTCCCACCCAGTTCCTGAAGGTGGCCACAAACCTTGGCTCCCAGCCCTTCCATATCCATAGGCAGCAACAGCAAGGACACGCCCCCCCCCCCCCCCCCCGCATCCCATTGCTCTGACCCCCTCTTCTTACTCCCTGGTCCACATTGTTAGGACCCTTGTGATTATATTGAGTACTTCCAGAAAATTTAAGATAATCTCCCTTATTTAAGGCCAACTGATTAGCAATCTTAATTCCATCTGTATCCTTAAATCTCTTTGCATATAAGGCACATTCACAGATTCTAAGGATTGGGGTCAGGAAAGGTTGGTTTGTTTTTGTAGGGAGATGCTGCCATGCCTACTACAGTGATTACAAGCAAGAAAGCAGCACTGTGTGAAAGGAGTTTTGGTGTAGGTGCATCTGACACCTGAGGGGACAGAGGCAGAGACTGCACGGTGCTGGGTTTCTGCATCCAGCTGCAGTGGCAGCACAGGGAGGGAGTGTGGCGAGCACACGTCTGAGAAGCTGCCCAGGGGCTGGTGCTTGGCTCAGTGCCTGACCACTGCCTGCGATGCCGGCATCCCATACTGGAACAACGATTCGAGTCCCTGGCTGCTCTCTTTCCCAGCGTGGCTCCTTGCTTGTGCATCTGGGAAATCAGCAGAAGATGGACCACGTTCTTGGGCCTTTGCTTCCCATATAGGAGACATGGATGGAGTTCCAGGCTCTTGCCTTCAGCCTAGCCCACCCCCAGCTGTTTCCATGAATTGGGAGGTGAACCAGTGGGTGGAATATCTCTTTCTCCTTAGGTTTCTCCCTCTTCCTTTTACTTTGCTTTCAAATAAAAAAATTAATAAAAAGCTGCACAAAGAGAGTCCAATGACACATAGATAACGTGCAAGGCTGGCAGTAGTGGAATGCATTAGGTCACGACCCAGAATGCTGTTGTTCATTCTAGAAGGCGAAGACAGCTCCAACCAGCTGTGCAACCCCAGATTGTCAGAGCTCAGGCTGAAAGCCTCTGCCAGTGACTTGCTTCATTGTGGTTTCCAAACTTCACACTCTGCTCCCTCTGCCCTGGACCCATGTTGTAATTGTTCCATACTTAATTAGGATGAGGAATTATAGGGGCAGGTTCAGCTGGAATAATTTTGGGTACAAAAATACTATCCTTCTGGAGGGAGCATAAGTGTGTGTGGGTGCTGGAGGCAGGCCGACTAACCCCCAGCTCTCAGCATGCTGTGAGCGAGAGAGTTAGTGTTGTTGCTGCAACTCTGCTGTGCTGAAATACACGCACAGTCATTCTCACATGTATATGCATCTGCGTGTCTGTGTACGTTCTCTTATTTTCTCCTGATAGCATTATTTAAACTTCATTTTATGTAATTTATGTAGATGCTCACTTCAGTTTAATATTTTGGATATAGTGTTCCAGAGCCAGCTTTAATTCCCTGGTGAATAATTTCTTTTGAATTAAATTATGTGAATTTTACATGGTGTTGTTTTGCAAACCAGAGAAATTTTATACAGTATTTTATCCTATGTAAGTACTGTAGTATTCCTCAAAGTTTACAAAATTAAAGATAGAATTAAATGGAAAATTTGATATGATTTATCTGTTCATCTATCTGTTCTGTCTAGCTTATCTTCTTGGATTTAACTATCATCCATTTATCTATCATTCATTTGTTTTTCATCTATCTACAATCATTTATCATTCATTTATATCCTTATCAATTATCGATCTAGTCTGCTCCTCATCTATCTACAATCATTTATCTATCATCTGTGTGCATCTAATCTATCTTCTTTCACGTACCTATGTATCTATTAACCATTTATCAATTACCTGTAAATCATCTATCCATCTTCCACTCATTATCTGTGTATCTCCCTTCCTACCTGCCTACTCATTTATCACCTGCCTTTCTACGCATCCACCCTTCTACCCATGTGTCCTAGCTATGTCTAGTCTGCTATTCGCCCTTTTCCGTGTGGGTAGGCGCCCTGCTCATCCCGCTCAGCGAGAGCTAGGCCGGATCCCGGCGTCCGCGGCCTGGGAGCTGTCCAGCGGTTCCTGGCTAAGTTCTGCTCTCAGCACCAGGGAAGCTCTCCAGCGCCCCGCCCTGGGCAGGGGGCCTCTCCGCGAAGGCTCGCCGGGCTTCCCAGTGGTGCCACTGGCCCCCGCCTCGCTCTCTCTTTACTGGGTCTCACCGCCTCGGGCTTCTGCGCTCTCCCCGGAGAAGGTGCCGCGCCCGGGCCGCCCCGGAGCAGAACGCAAGAGCGGTGGACTCCCCGCCCTGGCCGGGGCGGGGAGGGGGGGCCCCGCGCATTCTAGCCGCGCCCCTGCGGCTGGTGGCCGGGCCTGTCTGCATGGCTTATGACGCGCAGCCGGAGCGGAGGGTGAGAGCAAGGACCGGCCGGCAACTTGGCACCTAGGGTGTCGATCTACGATCGGAAAGGACCTGGCGTGGCCCGGTCGGCGGGGGCGGGGGGCGGAGGGCGGAGGCTGCCGCGGTTTTGGGCTCGCTGGGCCGGCTCGGAATCCAGGAGCCCGCGCTGGGGAGGATGCACAGCCGGGCCCCCAGCTGTCCTCCCCACCCCTGGCCTCCCGCCTCCTCTCCCCGGGAGTCGGGTCCAGGGCTCCGCGCTCTCTCCATTGTCTCTGCCTCTACTGCAGGTTCGCGCGGCGGCGAAGACGCGCGGTGAGGCCGCCCTCGCCCGGCTCTCTGGGGCGCATCCCTCGCTGCCCAGCGAGCTTTGGGCAGCTTTCACCCGGCTGGGGAGCGAATTCGCCCGCAAGCCCGACCTCCCGAGACCCCTCCCCACCCCCCTCCCAACCGGCGCCGGCGCTGGCGCTGGCGCTGCGTGGGAGCGGCTGTGCGCATTGGAGGGTCCAAGTTCTCCGCGCGCCGGGGGCCTCCCTTTCCTTTCTTAGGCGGCCCAATCGTGTTAATCCCGCTAAACAGTGGATGCGAGGCAGCAGCAGGGGGGCGACGCTTTTCCCGCTGGATTCCGGGAACCTCTTCGGCGTTTCTTTTCTGTTCCAGAGGGAGGCGATGGACTGAGCGGAGCCGCGCCATGGAGTCTCGGGGCTTGCTGAGGACCCTCTGTTGGCTCTGCGCTCTTGGAGCAGGTGCGTGCCGGCCCCGCCGCCGACCGGTTCGGTTCCGGGTGGGGGCTTGGAGCAGGGGCGGGGCAGGTCCGCGTTTTCGGTGCCTGCCCTGGAGATGGCGACGCGGGTCGCGCCCTAGCCCGGGTCTGCGGCCCGGGAACTTTGCGCGGAGCGGGCTGTGCGCTGGGTCTGCGAGATGGGGCCGCGGGCTCGGCTGCTCCCGGCGTGGCTGCTGCTCGCAGGTAGGCGCTGGGCGGCGAGCAGCCGCTCCGAGTCCTGCATCCGGGCGTGCGGCTCCTCTCTTGATGCAGCCTTTTCCTTCTTCCCTCCCCTTCCCCACTCCAGCAGTGTGGGGGCTTGGTGTGGATCCCTCGCTGCAGATTGATGTCCTGACGGAGTTGGAACTGGGGGAGTCCACGGCCGGAGTGCGCCAGGTCCCGGGGCTGCACAATGGGACCAAAGCCTTCCTCTTTCAAGGTAGGGTCGGGCGCTGCGAGCGGGGTCTGGGGAGGGGGCCGGCCTCCGGCTGGCGCTGGTGGGCAGGGGCAGAGGGGTGCAGCCCTGGCTCTGGTGAGGGGGGAGTCGCTGGGCCCTCGCGCCCGGCTCCTACCTCGGTACGCCTAGTGCTGGGGCCAGTGGACAGTCTCTTCAGGACCGGGCGGGAACTCCGTTGGCAGACGTGGGCTTTAGAGCCTGGGGAACAATGGATCGTCGCCGAGAGCCGCACCGAAGCTGCGGGGGAAGGTAGCGACCCCTGGAAGTTTCAGGTGCGGCGGCGCCCGCGGGCGGGCCGCGCGCCCTGGGTGAGGCCGGGCTCCCGGGCGCGCCATCCTCCTCCTCCGGGTCCTCCGCCGTCTCCCGGAGAGGGAACAGCATGCGCGCAGCGTTACTTTGAGAATCTTTCCAGGAGATGTTAATTTAGGAGTCTCGCTTCTCCCACCCTTGGTTTCGAGTCAGGACTCCAAAACTTGGTTTTGGCCATCAGCTGCGCGCTGTTGTCTAATTTCAAATCGCATTAGGTGTGTATGCAGTCAGTGGCAAATTGGGGCCGCACGGGCGCTCATCATCAGTTTACCAAGGGTTCTGGACTGCTGAATCTGAGCTTCCACCAGGCAGCCAGAGGGCCGTAGGAAGAGGAGCTTCCCAGGGCAGCAGCACAGAGGAAGGCCACGAGAAGCGGAGTTGGGACTCACGCCCGGCGGGTACAGCGTGGGGGCCCACTCACCCAGGTGTTGCTTCTGCGGCTTTGCTTTTGCGGCTTCCCAGGAAGCCGGCTCCTGGTTAGGGAGAGTGGGTGTGCGAAGTAAGGCCCCTGGAGGCAGGCCTGCCGCCAGGAGGAGAGGCAGCCGCCAGTGCTGCTGTTGCCTGCCGCCGCCAGAGTGTGTCACCCCAGCAGCAGCAACTGCTGTGTGTGGCGCTTACCGAGCAAGAGATTACAATGTCAATTTTGTGTTTCCAAAACTTACTTAATGAATGTTTGCATGTGGCATTTGCGATGCCAGTATCTAGTTCAGGGTCTTCTTTGGGAGGGTCGAGCTTGAAGAAAAGTGACCACATCTAATACAGGAAATAAGCCTGGACTTGCAGCAGGATATCAGATGAGCAGAAGTGTCCCTACGGCTAAGCGTTTGTTTTCTGTTGCGTGTTGATTTGTTTTTATCTCTGACTTTTAACCTCTGTGAACTGGAAACAACATGATTCAGGACTACCAGTGTGAGAAGCTGTGACGCTCACGCCCCTGATGACCAGGTGTGTTCCCTGCAGAGAGCCTGGACTCTTGGGACCAGAAACCCCAGGGCTGTGTCTTCCGTGCTAGACAGTAAGGTAGTTGCTGGGAAATCGTCTCAAGGGACCAGTGTCTTCTGGTTAACTATTTTTTTTATAAAGAGTGATTAACGATGACTTACTTAAATTGCTATTGTCTTCGTGGCAAGCGCTGCGTTTTCTCTAAATCACCCACAGTAACCACATGGCATGAGGAATTGTTGTTTGTTGCCTTGTTGATACCAGACCCAATATTCAGACAGAATAGAAGTTTGCAAATATAATTTATGATATCCGGAGACGTAAAATTCCTGACAAATTATGAACTTTATTTCACATTGCCAGTCGGTGAGTGATCACTGCCTGCTGTGTTCCCAGGGGGATGCATTACTGATGTGCTGATTATGCGCCCGTGATTTCACCTGTTTCCAGGTTTAGACTCCAGAGTTGTCAACAGGTGGTCTTGGGCCCCAGTCCACGTCTGCCACCCCTCCGGATAGCAGCCTGGAACCTGCTGCTCCACGTGGGTTCCAGGAGCTTTCAGACATGCAGGATTTCACAGATTCCATGGATAGTGAATCTTGCAGATGCTGTATGTGGTGTATAAAATGTCAGAGCAGGAATAGTAACGAATTCAAACACCTGGGAGGTGCTTTCAGCTCCCGTGTGCACCTGTTATACAAGGTTCTTTGTGCTGCCAGTTGTGCTCTGTGTGGTTGGAGGAGATCAGGGCCCACCAGACTGCCCCTGCAGTGACCTACCCATCTGCTGCCTCTGAGCTCTAAACGAGACACCCCAGTGGAAGCTTTCCCGGTCACCGTGTCTCACTTCACAGTGCTCCTCCTTTCGGCTGCTTCGGTTTTCCTTTAGTGATTTTTGAATTGCATGCAATTCTGCACCTTTTGAAACTATAAGTACATTTTGTAAATTATTGTGAAAGATCTATCATTACAAAATGTTTTCTTATATCTGATAAAAATAAGTATTTCAGAATCATACCTTTTTATCATAACATAACTATGGTATCACTCAGCTGGCTTTGTTGCTGTTGAAACTTGATTTGTAACTCTATGGAAATACAAATAGCAAGATGCTGGGTTAGAGTATCTCTTAACAAACGTGGCTTTTGATCTGTGACAATTACAATAATCTTCAAAAGGAGAAAGTTTCCAGACCATAGCTTGGAATCTGTATCAAGATCTTTGAGTCATTTTTAGCTATAATCTGACTCATAGCCACAAAAATACACTTACTAAGCTTTTAAAAAATGGAAGTGTGAATACTGACAATGAAAAGACCTACGAAATGTTGTAAAGAGATCTGAAATCTTAAGGACTAGTGCAGTTATAGGTAGAATTTTACCTAGTTTTATTTAAAGTCTAGGAAATATTTTACAAGATAATGATCATTAGGTTCTTTCCCCTGTGTACATGAGAGATCAAGAATGAGAGCATACAGAAGCAAAGTTCTAGCGCTTTATAGTAACCTGCATGATTTTTAGATCTTTGATTTTAACCATTCAACTGCCCAGATTCCTGAAGTAGAGAATTTTATCTGTTGATGTAATAAAATTTCTTCTGAAGTGTTCACAGGTTTTGTATTGTTAATTCCCACAAGAGAAGTACAGAAAATCAAAGCATATTTTTTCCTGAGTTGATAGTTTGGAAATAAGCTTACTCATTATTTTTATAGCACTTAAAGATTTAAAGGCACACGACGTTCACCTGGTGAGCTCTCATGTAGCGTTTGAGAACAGGAGTGAGGAAGGCACTTGCAAGTGAGGCATTGACTGTGGTAGGCACGGGAACTGTACTGAGAAAGCAGTGGCCACGGGGGTCTGCCCACAGTGTGATGGTCAGTGGCATCTGAGAACTTGAGGGTGACGTAAGGGCCACTGGAAACCCACAGAGTGGAAGAAGACAACAGCTAAGATGTGGGCCCAGGTGGAAGGTTACTAGTTACGTCCCCATTGCGGAATTGCTTAGTTTTGCTGTTTCAGTCCTCTCGACTATAACACGAGCGTTCTTGTGAAGATTAAATTAGCTGTGTTCATTCCTTCCAGTCCTTGTGCAGCTGCTGAACTGCCCAGTGTTAGCACCAAGCAGATGAGGAAGTTAGAACTTGTCTTTGCTCGAAGTAGCCATTAGTAATCACCACTAAGACACCTTTGTGAAGAAAACTTAGAGTGTAAGGGGATCTTCATTCCAGTTTGGAGAGTTCCAGGGTCCAGGAACAGACTTCGAAGAGTCGGGTAAGCTGGCCACTGACCTGCGAGTCGTCTGGAGAGGCTGTGTGTGTGCACAGAGATCAGAGCAGCACAGGCTGGGGCGAGGTCGCACGCCAGGACTGGATGGTGTGCAGAGATAGGAGTGAAGCAGAGGAGGAAGCAGGGGCCAGGCTACCTGGTGGACCATGTTAATACAGCAGAACTGAAAATAGATTCTTACACAAAGATACAATGTGGTGTGCAGAGTAATGGTCCCCTAAAGATGTCCATGTCCTAACTCTGGGATTTTGAGAATACTGTGTTATATGACAAGGGGAAAACAAGGTTGCTGGTAAGCTGTCTGTCCTGGATTATCGGGGAAAGTGCTATGTAATCGTAAGTGTCCTTTACATCTGAGAGAGGTGGTAGAGTCAGTGGGTGATGTGATACAAGAAAGACTGTCAGCGAGGGCGGTGGGGCAGCGAGAGGGAGCGAGAGAACTCTCCGATGCCTGTAGTGGCTGGGGCTGACGCTGGGGACTGGCAGCTCAGTCCTTTGTCCTAAGCAGGTGGCAGGAATCCACGTACTCGGGCCATCACCACTTCCTCCAAGGGTCTGTTTTAGGAAGAAACTGGGTTCAGGTACTCTATGGGATGTAGGCCTCTTAACCATTAAGCCAACCACCTCTTCTCATTGCTGGATTTGAAGGTAGAAGTGGGCCAGGAGCCCGGGAATGAAGGCCACCTGCAGAAGCTGGGAAAGGAAAGAAAAGGCATTTCCCTTGGAGTCTCCAGAGGGAACCCAACAGTCCTGCTTCCTTGACTGTAGTCCAGGGGGGCTCGTTCTGGACGTAGGACCTCCAGGATTCTGAGAGCATGAGTCTGAGTTGATGAGAGTCATTTGGTTTGTGGTGATTTGTTATAGCAGCACTAGAAAGTTAGTAAGGGCTTTGTACGTGGAAGTGAGTGCTTCAGCCACAGATGCCTGAAGATATGGAATTGGCTTTGGAATTGAGCTGTGGGCAGATGTGGAAGTTTTGGGGTTCTTAATGGAAAATAAATATAGATTGACTTGGGTAGATCTTTTGTAGAAATGTGGATGTTGGTCACTACAAAAATGGTAGAGAGAATGTAGGTCACCTCAGAGAGCACTTCAGGCATCCTGTAGGTAGGTGGAGTTCTGGCCGTTAACAGCATGGCCAGTGGAGGACTCAGGTGGAAATGAAGTGCTCGTTATTGTAAACTAGAGAAAATGGGTTCCTTGTTACGTGTAATGTCAGAAAATTTGGCTGAACTGTGTCTTGTGGTTGTGTGGAAAACAGAACTTGTAAACAATGAACTTGGATAATTAGCTGTGACTTTTATGCAAAGAGCTGAAGGTGAGCTCTGGCTTTGTCATGTTGCCAGTAGTAAAATGTGAGAGGAGAGAAAGATTTAGCAAAGAATCATTAAGCAGAAAGGATCCAGAGCTTGTTGAATTTCACAGCCTATCCTGACTAGAACATAAT